TACCCAGCCCAGCCCCCCCCCCCCTACGGTCCGGGCCGATTCCGGGTTTTACCGGTCTGGGCCGGTCCGGAACCGGGTCAACCCGGCCCGTTTAACACCCTTATAAAAAAGTAATTAATTAATAACTACATAATTGTGTGATTTATATTACCAAACAGTTTAAAAATAAGAAAATCGTGTTATTCTATACTTGTTTGAACTTTTTAAAATTGATAAAAAATTTGTCATACAAGAAAAGAGGGCATATCTTTGACGAACTAAAATAAAAAGTTTGGTCAATCATGACAAATAAATATATCTTATTTCTAAAGCTTTGTTTCTGGTGTGTTTCTAGAAGTTTTGACAAACTTATAAATAGAAGTAGTTGGGACTCTATATTTTCAAGTTCCTTCATATTTGGACAATAAGTTTCACGATTATCTCTTATTTAAAAAAAAAAAAATGAATTTGTTGCCAATCTTTTAAACGATTATAATATTTGTTGACTATCTTTCCAAACTTGGTTGTCTACCCTATTAATTTAGAGCAAAGTCGTCTGCCCTAATTCTATAGCAATTAAGTCTAGCGGCTCATTTAGTTATTTACACAAAAATTTGGTTATGTTTTTTTTTTTAGTTCTACTTGCAGCTTGTTTGGATTGTTGTTCCTCATTGTATCGTATTGTATTGTTATCCCAAAACAATGTTTATTTTGATTGTTTCATTAAAATTGGTTGTATTGTATTGTTAAATCCTTTGTTCCGGAACAATGAAAAGTCCCCTTTTTTGAAACAACCGATTTGATGTGGTGGGATTGTTTCCCATTTTTCTTTCCAATTATGTCATAACTTATTACTCCACAATTATATTTTTTCCTTTACCTTGTTTTTTTCTATTTTAACTCCAAATCTCCAACCTATAACCTACTTTATTTTTTTCCAGAACTTCTGCCGCCAACGTTAAAGGTGTTTTGCCGCCTCCTGTTTTATTTTCTCCTAATTTGCTTTTAACTCAATTCTAACTAGATGTGCTCCTTTGTTTTGCCTTCTTCTGTCTGGCTCATTTGTTCTGCTTTCTTAAGGTGTGTTGCCTTCTTGTGTTTTAAATTATTTTTAGCATAATTTTTGATAAATTTAATATTTAAATAATTGAGGGTATTTTAGTAAACTTATCAATTACAGTACAATACGATACAGTCAAACCAAACAGCAAAATATTATTTAACTGTAGCAAACAATACAATCTATCCAAATATTGTATTCATAAAATGATACGATACAATACAATACATTATAAAACGATGGGGAACAATAATCCAAACAGAGTGTTAATGTTGTAAATAAAAGCAATAGTATAACCTTTCATGTAGGGTTATTTAATTGGAATAAAAATAAAGATAAAATATTATCCGGACTCGATGTTTACACTCTAATCCAGTGAATATGACACGTATTTTCGGATATACTTTTATTAGTAAGTCATACTAATATACACCTCCTTAATTTATGATCCAATCATAATAAATTAATACTCCATTTGTTCCACTTTACGTGAACCTATTTCCTTTTTGATCCGTTTAGAAAAGAATGATCACTTTTTAAATTTGGTAGCAATTTAAATTAAACTTAAAATTCTACCCTTAATGAAAATGAGTGGATACTCGATTCAAATTAAATTACACATGTGTTCTCATAAATTATCTAAATGAGTTTAATTTTTCAGCAATTGCTTATATCATCATATAAAGATGACCCACATAAACAAATAACTGTCTATATATAACAATAAGTTAGCAATTAGCACCTTTAAAGATTCAGTAAATAACTTACTTTATATTATTTATACTAATTTAAATAAAAAAGCAATTCTCATTATTGAAACTTTGAAATCAAAAGCATTTTCACCCTGAACATTTTGTCTGTATAGCAGACATTGTTCTGGCTATAAAGTGCTACAAATAAAAAATAAGGAAGAAAAAGTGAAAAAGACAAGAAATATTTATGGTAAAAAATGTATTTACCAAAAAATTAAAGAAAAAATACATAAACATAAAATAAACATTATCTAGAAATAATTGATTTTATTTAAATACTGAATATTCTCTTGAACGTTAAGGTTTTGTTTGTCGCATTCTTTGGGAGGTACAAAAGCAGAAAGGGTTAAAAAATCAGAAAAAAAGTACAAAAGTGAAAGAGTTGTTCTGTCTCATTATTCTGTTTGATAAATTGATAGATCTAAAGATTCAAATAAACACAATAAATAAAGGAATATATTACTCCTTTTTCAAATTAATAGCTTTATTATCTTTTTCTCTTCTTTGCATAAATTAATTTAAATTGGACTAGAATCAAACACAAAATAAACATTTTTTTAATGTCTAGAATAATATTTAAAAGTTCTAAAAATATTTTTTATCTAGAAGTTGAATAACACATCGCGATTATCTAAGAATAAATTTGACTAATCGTTTGGCTGAAATTGAAAAAACATGACTACGCGTTTGCTAGTGATCATCACATTTATCATGTTAAGTTGGAATTCCAGTTAAAAAAAAATATTTTCTAGCAAACGATTAAAGTTTTACACAGTAACTTATTGACTAATTACATTCAGTTATGCTCGAATTCAATTACAAGGTGACTTTCCAAACAACTGAATGAGTAGCAGCTCTCATACTCTTAGTTTTTGTCTATTATAACAATTTAAGTTTTAAATTCTTAAATATGAAAAAAAAAAATTCTAGCAAACGATTAAAGTTTTACACAGTAACTTATTAACTAATTTATTAACTAATTATATTCAATTACGCCCAAATTCAGTTACAAGGTTAATGAGTCCCAATTCTCAGTGTCTTTTATAACAATTTAAGTTTCAAATTCTTAAATATGAAAAAGAATTTATTTACACTTATTTTTTTCAAATAATTAAAAAACAAAATAGAGAAAATATTCTAAAAATATAGAGAAATGGGTAAGAGAGAGGAGATGGGGGTTCCAAGAGAGAAAAGTCTCTGTAAAAAAGAGCTTTGACTCTCTCTTCTCCAATGGAGGATTTAGTTTTCACACCTTCTTGAATTAAAACCTTTTACCCCATTTTCACATTCATATTCTCATATCACAACTACCTCTTTTTTCTCATTTTCTATTTCACTCTTCATTTCTATTTTACCCCTTTTATCTATTACAAACCCAAAATCCAGATAGAACTAACCAAAAAAAAAAAAACTTTTTTTCTGCAGGTTGGTTCTTTTTTCTTTTTAATGTGCTACATTTTATTGTTATTTCATATTTTGTCATTTCTGAGGTTTTTCCTGTATATGGATATCTTTTTCTCTTCTTGTTTGTAAAAAGTAATTAGATTTATCAGAATCTTGAATAATGTGTCCAAATTATAAAAGATCTCTTTAAAAATCCAATCTTTTTATCTGTTTTCTTCAACTCTTTATATAAAAGTTAGAATCTGCATTAATCTTTGAATAACTTGATCTTAAAGCTCAGATTTTGATGTTTATATTCATTTTTTTATAGGCAAAGAAGTAAGAATATAATATTTGGTTCATATTTAGCTCAAGATTATATTTTTTGGGTTTTAAGAATATAACATTTGGTTCATATTTAGCTCAAGATTGAACTTTTTTGGGTTTTAAGGGTATGGCATGATTGAATCTTTTTGGGTTTTAAGAATATAACATTTTGTTCATATTTAGCTCAAGGTTGAATGGTTTTGGGTTTTAAGAATATAACATTTGGTTCATATTTAGCTAAAGATTGAATCTTTTTGGGTTTTAAGATTCATATTTAGCTTAAGATTGATATTTTTTTGGGTTTTAAGAATATAATATTTTTTTCATATTTAGCTCAAGGTTGAATGTTTTTGGGTTTTAAGAACATAACATTTAGTTCATATTTAGCTCAAGAATGAGTTTTAAGAATATAACATTTAGTTCATATTTAGCTCAAGGTTGATTTTTTTTGGGTTTTAAGAATATAACATTTGATTCATATTTAGCTCAAGATTGAATTTTTTGTGTTTTGTTGATATTTTTTTCAGGATTTGATATTTTGAAATTGTTATGGGAAATTGCTGTGTGACACCTGGTAAATCTTCTGAGAAAAAGAAGAACAAGAAGAAGAACAAACCAAACCCTTTTGCTATTGATTATGGGGCAACTCAATCATCAGCTGAAGGTGACGGAAACAAGCTTGTTGTGTTAAAAGATCCAACAGGGCATAATATTAATGAAAAATATGATCTTGGTCGCGAGCTCGGTAGAGGAGAATTTGGGGTTACATATTTATGTACTGATATTGACACAGGGGAGAAATATGCTTGTAAATCGATATCGAAGAAGAAACTTAGGACAGCTGTAGATATTGATGATGTTAGGAGAGAGGTTGAGATCATGAAGCATTTGCCTAAGCATCCTAATATTGTTACCTTAAGGGATACTTATGAGGATGATAGTGCAGTGCACATTGTGATGGAACTTTGTGAGGGTGGTGAGTTGTTCGATCGGATTGTTGCTAGAGGACACTATACAGAGAGAGCAGCAGCTGGTATTATGAGGACTATAGTCGAAGTTGTCCAGGTATAGTTTTACAAATTGTTGCAATCTTGTTCATATATTTCATGCACTGTGTGTTGTTAACTCAGGATTATTTTAGTGAAGTCGGAGTTCGATAATTTCAACTGAAGATATCAAACTAGACAAGAAAGGAATGTTGTGATTGAAGTTTCTTGTTTGTGAGCAGATTGAAAGTTCTAGCTGAATATTATGTTTGAAGCTTAGATTTATGACTTTGTTGTGAATTAGCACTTACCATTTAATTGGATTCATTTCACATGTTGACCATGTAGCAGTTATTTTACTACATTCTATATTTAAAGTGGAGATCTTTTGTTATGAAATTGTTGCTAACAGAGTTCAATTAAAACTGTAGTTTATATACTGAAGCAATTATGGTCTAATATATAATAATGTGAGAGCTCAACTTACATAATGACAGAATAGAACGAACTGACTTAATTTCTTGATAAGGATTCCAAATGTGACACTTTTCAATAGAGAAAAGACTCATTTTATGGAATGTGTTTAAAAAGTTCATGCTTCTACATTTGGTTGTTTGAACTGTTATCATAAAGGGATGGTAACCGAAGCTAACATGAATGCTGATTATCCCAACTTTATAAAGTTTAAACTATGTGGTCGCACATAGATCTATTGTCAAGTTTTACTCTCTCGTTGCGTTATGTTTCCTCAAGCAATGTCTGCTCCTCCATCATGTTCTACTTATGGAAAGTTTCAATGGCATTGCAGATGTGTCACAGGCACGGAGTAATGCATCGCGATCTCAAACCCGAGAACTTTCTCTTTGGTAACAAAAAAGAAACAGCTCCACTGAAGGCTATTGACTTTGGGTTGTCGGTGTTTTTTAAACCTGGTAATGCACTCAGTAATGTTGCAGTGTGTTTGAACCTTTTTTATGCAAAAAAAGGTTAATATTTGGAATAATCTTTATTTCTTTAACAGGGGAACACTTTAATGAGATAGTGGGAAGTCCTTATTACATGGCTCCAGAGGTCCTAAAACGCAATTATGGCCCGGAGGTTGATGTGTGGAGTGCTGGAGTTATTCTTTATATACTTCTTTGTGGTGTTCCACCTTTCTGGGCAGGTCAGTTTCTTTTATTTGCCTTGTTTTTGTAACATGTTACAAACCTTGGTGCATATGTTTTGGGGTAGGCAACTTCTTAGAAGTTGGCGACTATTTAATTAGAGAGTGTCGAAAAGGAAGAGTGACTGCAATAGTGAATCCCACCTCTACCTGAACCAGTGAAATCAAATTTCTTTTTGCCTATGATAGTCAGTACTTTGTGCTTCTAGCTATGAATTTGGTTATCATTTTCTCAAAATTGCCTAAATTCTTCCAAATATTTGTAGAGACTGAACAAGGAGTCGCCCAAGCAATTATTCGCTCTGTAGTTGATTTCAAGAGAGATCCATGGCCTAAGGTTTCTGATAATGCTAAGGATCTTGTAAAGAAGATGCTTGATCCAGATCCAACTCGACGGCTCACAGCTCAGCAAGTTCTTGGTAATTTTTGTTAGTCATTGTGATGCTATACTTTCATTCGCTTATTGTCTATTCTCCCTATTTCATAGTTTAATTTACTGACTTTTTCTTTGGGCTTTGGCTCATATACTTGAATGCAGAGCATACTTGGTTACAAAATATAAAGAAAGCACCAAACGTCTCATTGGGTGAGACTGTCAAAGCAAGGCTCAAACAATTTTCAGTTATGAACAAGCTCAAGAAAAGAGCTTTAACGGTAAATATACACTTTTCCCTGCAGTTATATACATATTCTTAGCATTCTGCACTATCTCAAAAGGATATCTTCATATATGCTTAATGTTTGAAGCCCAAAATGATCAAAGATTCTCTGCTTTCTCACAAAAGTTTCTCAATCTTATGCTTTCTTTCATTGCATGCACAGGTTATCGCGGAGTTTTTGTCAGCAGAGGAAGTGGCTGGAATGAAGGAAGCATTTGACCAGATGGATACAGGAAAGAAAGGCAAGATTAACCTTGGNGATTTCGATCCCCCGATTCGATACCATGAAGCCGAGGAATTTGCCCGAGCCGACCCCGAACGCACTTCGTCTGGGTTGAGCTTCATGTTGTACTTTCTTAGTATGACGATGGTCTCTTGCAAATGTTTCAAATGGTCCTCTGACCCGCAGGGACTTAACTAACATTCCATCAATATAAACTTCCATTGATTTTCCATTTGTCTTCGAACATTCGATTTACTAGGTGTTGATAAGTTGCACCAGCATTTTTAGTTCAAATGGCATTACGTTATAACAATAGGTGCCATTATTTCTACGTGATGACTTTCAATGTGAATCTGTCTATAGCCATAAGAGAAGCCTCGCACTTTTCCTTGCGTACCTAATTGGGTTCTTATTGTTTCTCAGAAATTCCTTACTCTGGGATTCTTTTGCTCTTTGATAGAGTGATTATTATAATTGTTCCCTCTTTTATCTTCTCTTTGCTTTTACAGGCTGATGTTGATAGAGATGGATGTTTAAATTACGCGGAGTTTGTCGCTGTATCGGTTCATCTAAGAAAAATGGCAAATGATGAGCACCTGCACAAAGCGTTTTCATTTTTTGACAGAAACCAAAGTGGTTACATAGAAATCGAGGAGCTGCGCAGTGCCTTGAGTGATGAGGATGATGGCAACAGTGAGGAAGTCATCAATGCTATTATGCATGATGTTGACACCGACAAGGTAAGTATTTGTGTTGATTCATATGCATCTACCGAATTTAGTACTTAGTTCATATATTTAAGTTTTAAGTAATGTAGTTTAAGCTGATGTTTCATCTTAGTGAGGCCTGATCTTGAACTCTCGACCCTTAGTGTTTTTTTTTTTTTTTTTTTTTTTGATGACCGAGAAATCCGTCTGGGCCAGATCCTTTGGACCAACCGCAGCCTTCGAAACTCAGTGGATAATGGGCCCGCCTCTCGACCCTTAGTTCTTATTCAGAGTTGGTGCTTCTTTGCTTTTATCAGTCGTAAAACCCAAAAGTACTCTACCTAATTGTGCCTTAATTATATGTCTATGCCAGTAAAGACTAAGACTACCGCATATGCTCCTACTGTGACTTTATAACTGCTTTCTCTACTACATATGTATTGACCATGACCAGATTTATCGAAAGAAGAAGATAAGAATTGACCATGACCCTTTAAGAGTTGTGATATTTTGCATTCCCTGCTGCTCAATCAGGATCTTATATGCCTTGCGATTTCACAGATCCCTAGAACTCTAGCCATTTGAATTGGGTGATGTTTGCGATTTTCTTTATTTTTTAAACGAGTTATTCATGAATAACCCCCTCGACTTGTCCTCAGTTCCAAGAAACCTATTACCCAACATACTGTCAAAATTGTATCTTCCATCACGCTGAGAGGTATATAACCAAATGAAAACATGGGGGTGTAGCACACGCTGCTACGTGTTAAAAAGTCACTTGATTTCCATCTTCTCTGACATATTTAAGGTTGTCCAGCCACCGAAAATGAAGAGAGCTTCTTATTGGAAAAAATGGTGTTTACCTTTTATTTAGCTTTCTGACAACTCTTGAGTCTTGTCAGTACAAAAAATCATCTGTTGCTATCAAACAACTCAAATAAGTAGAAACTACCATACACCAAACAAAAACGAAGACAAAATCAAACTCATTCTCTTTAGATTCCTTCTTCCTTTTCTTTGAGAAGAGTGATAGCTAAGGGAAGAAGAAAAGAAAGAGAAACAAAAAGAGTTGATTTTAGTTTTTTCGATTGCCTGGGAAGAAGAAAAGGAGAGAAGAGAAAGACAAAGAAAAAAAAAAGTAAAATAACAAAAAGGAAAAGATACTTGATTAAAGAAATGCTACAACACATTATTTTCCCTTTTTTCCCGTTCACGCGCATTATGAGGGGAATACACTCTCTACGTCACGTGGCGTCTTAGGGTTGTGGTAGATACATTTTGGACAAGAACCAAAGAGGTAACTGGTCTCCCACAAAGTTTAAGTGTGTTGTTGGAATGTCGGAACAAGTTGAGGTTTTATTTATTTATTTATTTATTTATTTGTATCTCATCCCTTTTTAAGATTGTAGCTTCTTTTCCATTCATTGTTCTTCTGTTCGACTTTATCCTTTATTTCTACTAAATGGCATTGAAGTATGTGGCGAATACCATGCTTTTAGCTTGTTTACCAAAAGTTGGAAATTCATCACTTCCATTTTGTCACGTTACAGGACGGTCGCATTAGTTATGAAGAATTTGCTGCAATGATGAAGGCTGGAACGGATTGGAGAAAAGCATCGAGACAGTATTCTCGTGAACGTTTCAACAGTCTGAGCTTAAAATTGATGAGGGACGGCTCATTACAACTTGGAAACGAGGCTAAATGAACAAATGCGGAAGAAAAGAAATGTTAAAAGAGGAAAAAAAGGAAATCATTTTATGGATATTTCCCTTTTTCTTTATTGAGTATGAAATTCTTCTTTACCTCTCGCTCGCTTTGTACTCGAAAATTTTGCCCTCCCGTCTGAGCTCCATCGTTGGCATATCAGTATATTGAGGTGAGGTCTGCAACTTGTTACCCCTTATATCAGTATATTGAGGTGAGGTCTGCAACTTGTTACCCCTTAGGCAATCTTGAGTTTTCTTATTCTGCAACTTGTTACCCCCTAGTAAAGCAGAAAGCATTTATCAAAGAATCTTTGAGTGTTTTTTTTTTTTTTTTGTAAATACATGGATTTGTTAAAAGCTCATTGTCATATTCTCAAAAGCAAAATTAACAAAAGGAAGGCTCATTGTCATTGAATATATCATTGCAACTCTCCTAATGTTGAAAAACTAGATGTTAGCAGTGCAGCATTCGATTTGCCTTTAGTTCTTTCTTTTATTCTTACTGGATATTGTGGTTAAATATTGCCTTTATGTTAGCACTCATTTTTTTTCTTTTGAGAAATGATAATTTTTGGGCTAGCTTGTTTGCAATTCTGTAACTATTTAATCACATACATGCGATGCGATCTTCTACTTTTCTGGCTGCTGTTACTGCTTCTCTTTCCCTAGTTCTGACAATATTGCTGTGATTATGCTTTCCTTGAGCCGAGGGTCTATCGGAAACAGTCTCTCTCTATCTTCATAGGGTAGTGGTAAGATTTATATATATACTACCCTCCCTAAATACACCGAATATGTTGTTTGTACATGTGATCTTCCACCAACACAAGTACTAGATAATCTGGCTCACCACAACTTAGATTAAAAAGGACAGCCCAGTGCACTAAGCTCCCGCTATGCGCGGGGTCCGGGGAATGACCGAACCACAAGGGTCTATTGTATGCAGCCTTGTCCTGGTCATATGGCAGCAACTTTACCAGTTACGTCAAGGTTCCGCTTCATTTCACCACAACTTAGATTGATGGAGATAAATCATCTAACATTTTGTCTCTATATACCTAGGCAACTAGTACACTAACTACTGCATCTAGTAAGATATTCTACTGTATTAGTGGTTGATATTTATTCAAGACTTGAATGAATGTAACACCAAACTGAAGTTTTGTTGGTAAATTTGTATTCCAATGATAAGGACCACTATCTCATTTATTCATTTGTCTGAGGGTCTATAGAAAACAATCTCTATATTGTACCTTTCTAAGATAGGGGTGAGGTTTGCGTATATACTACATCCTTCCTAGACTCCACTTGTGAAATTATACTGGATTTGTTATTGTCAAAATTACTAATCATATGTTTAAAATTGTTTGGATAAATTTTTAAGGTAGATTCGCATTTCATTAATATACTATAAATTGTTAACCTCCATGGTAATACCTATAAAATTTAATAAAGGTACAAGCCTTGCCCAACTCTACATATTCAGTTCTCCTAAGGCCTAAGCAGCCAAAAAACACCTAATAAATAAAAAAGTTGATGCCAAAAAGATGAAAGAAATCAATGTGAAATTAATAATGTCAGGTCGAATCAAGATATGTATGAGACAGATACAAGATAGGGCGAAGTGCAACAATAGCCACTTTTAAGCTCGCTATTTAAAATATATTCACAGTTTACAATGTATTTAAAGATTAACCAATTCACCCAAACTTCAGGACTGAGTATCCTGAAATTGGAAATTCAGGACCTAGTGTTTTGAATTTTGAGCTGCTAATTTGAAATTCAGGACTAAGTGTCTTGAATTTCTGAACCAATAATTTAAAATTCAGGATATAAGATTCGAACTTCATGACACAATTTTAGAACTTTAGGATACGATGTCCTGAATTTCTGAACTGCTAATTTAATATTCAGGACATAAGATTCGAACTTCAGGACACAATTTTCGAACTTTAGGACACGATGTCCTAAAGTTTAAATTTTGAGGTTTAAATTCTAGGACGCCGTGTCCTGAAATTTGAGCAAAATTGACTAATCTTTAAATACATTGTAAACTGTGTATATTAAACAGCATGCTTAATAGTGGTTAACCGATGTCATTTCTACTACAAGATACTCTAATTTTTGTTCTCTTAGTTGTTTCATGGAATCTTACAGAAATGTCCCAAAAAAGTAACAACTTACCAACCTCTAGCCATTAATCATAGACTTACCAAAACTATGCAAGTATATATAAAAATTGAAAACCCAAAGAAATAAGGTTTTTTTCTCTAAGAATCACACACAAGGATCTCCTTCCATATTTTCATGCGTGATTAGCAATATTAGATACAAGACGGAAAGGAATTTTCATGGATGAGGTAGCAAATAAAGTGATGAAATATAAATATAAATATATATATATATATATATATATATATATATATATACACAAGATTCTTAAATCTAAGCAAAAAGGACCTTTTTTCAATGGGTATGGTTGAGATTCATTGAAAACATATAGAAGTCAATATATAATTTGAGGAAGATTGGAGTTGATTTGGATTGATTTGGTATCAAAATTCGTAATTAAAAAATCGAGTTCAAAAAATTCTTCTGCGACTCATGTATCACACATGTATCTCACACGCAGGTATACATGGATATATATATATATATATGTAATACACATTTGATACAAATATGATACATATATGATAGACAGTGTAATACACCTATTATTTTTTCCATGTTCACCTTCTACTTCGAATTTTCAGTTCAAACCGCCTAAAAACTCCACCAAATCATCCCAAAACTTAGATTCAAACTCCTTAATATGTGTTTTTTGCTACAAATAGCTAAATGGCTAATATTGGTAATATTTTATGAACTGACTAATTTTTGTAATAAACTACTTATAAATGAACATTGCTTGTAGTTTCCCTTGATTCTTTTCTTATACCTACCACTCCAACAATATTAAAATGAAGTCGAAAATATATATTAATCCAAAGTATGGATTACGAGAGATAACATTATCTTTGTGAAGATTTCAAGTATGGAAAACTACTAAACTCATGGAACAAATATAAACCATGTATTTTTATTAACGTAAATAGGAGAGTAAATTTTAGATATTCTTTCTCTCTAGTAAATTTTACAAAAGTCCCCTGATTATTTCTCTTTGATTTCCGTAAGACGAGGATTGAAGATTCGAATTTCTCCGACAAATTATCAAAATAAACCCTGACTAAAGAATTTTCTATCCTAAGTTAAAACTTTGAATTATTCTTTTTTTCTTTTTAAAGAAGTTTGGATAAATGAGAAAAAAAGAATTCTTGATTTTAGCATTTGGATTTCTAGTTCTTATTTTTGCATATTGGATCGTTCAATTATTTTGCTATTACAATCAAAAAATAAAAAAATAAAAAAATACACCAGCTTGCGTAATCACCAACTACCTAACCACCACTCTGATCTCCACCAGTGACGGAAGTAGAATTTTCGCTAAAGGGGTTCAAAAAAAAAGAATTTAAAAGAGACTATGTCGCCAGTGAGAATTGAACCAGCAACCTTAGAAAGGTTTTAAATCCCCTTAATTACTGAGCCAAGGGAATTCAAAATATAATATATCGAGGCACAAAATAGATTTCGCCTTATATATACGATGTAATTATCCGGTGAAGGTGGTTCGGGTAAACCCCTTCCGCTCCCCTAAATCCACCGCTGATCCCCACACTGCACCTCATATTTAGAATACATACAGGAAAACAAATATTAAAAGGAAATAGATAACATAATAAATCATACAAGAGTTGTAGATTGATGCATACTTGAAATGACAACAAAAAACTTCCTAATGTTGATTTGGCACAACTGTTTAACCAACGTCAAAAATGCAAACCTAGTGAAAAGATACACCCAACAAAAAAAAGGAGCAGAGCCTTGATATATTATTAATAAATAATCAATCAATTCTTTTGACTAAATGCCTAAACAACAGCTGACTTTGGTCACAATTTCCAGCATAATATGTGATGCCATACTCACCCTAAAGTCACAATTTCCAGCATAATATGTGATGCCATACTCACCCTTAAGGTATTATTATACACTCGTAAAAGGCCTACAAAACTGGCTTTGATTTTTGGCAGATACCTACCAGTAATCTTTTATCGATGTTAGAGATTCTCTAATGTGGTTTCGGCTTATAGCCATCAACAGCAAAGTTTCTCGTGGCTGCAGGAAGAGCTAACCGAAGTCCATCAAGTTCAGGTTTTGCAATTACTTGACAACCTAGACGAGACCTGCAGAAAACGAATGCATAACATATGAGAAGCTTGAGAATACTACAGTAACTGATAAGTAATACGAATAGAAGGGACCTACGTCTCAGTGAGGCCAAAAGCAAGATCCAACATGTCATTCTCTTCGTCTGTTGGATCTTCTAGCTTGTTGTAGTAGTCCACATCCTGTCCAAAGTCGCCGAAGTTCAGATAACAAATGTAGCTCAGTTACAAGATCACAACATTCAAATGGATTCTTGACCCAGGAAAGCCCCAGCTGAGGTGAACGAGGGGTTTACGGCATTGGCCTAATAATATGATTACATACCATAACAATCACATGACATGTGGAACAGGCAAGTGACCCTTCACATGCTCCTGCATCAAAGCAAATGTTGTTTGGTTAAATTTAACAGACAATAAGGCATGGAATTTTATTTTATTGTTCCGCTTTTTTGAACAGGTAAATAAGGCATGCAGAGGTTGATATGCTAAGAAATGTAAAATTCCACCACAAAAACCCAAAATTGTTTTGGTATACAATTTGTCCCAGTGCCCTAAATAAATGTAGGAGACATGTCATCCAGTAATTTTACCCAGACCTGTGCAACTGAGGCTCATATTAATTGTCTAAGGGTAAAATTGAAATTGAAAGATTTAGGCCATATTTTGGAAAGAATGTTAGTAATGTGTCTAATATTATGCCCAACTACCATTATTGGCTCCATGCTTCTTCCCATTCTAGTGTCAACTAGCTCTGCCACATTGCCTCTCTACAGCCTACAGGATGTCTCAGACACGCATTACCAACTTTTACGCACCTTCCCACGCTTACGCCATCACCTTCTCCACTTCACCAGTAGCTTCAATATTAAATGAGAAAACTTGCAGTTCCCCCACTATTCCTTGGAATTGCTTTGAGCTAAGGTACACTTTCATTAACTTGGAGAAACTTAGGGACTTGCCTCACATTTTGTCCAAGACTCAAAAGGTGAACTTAGATTATTGTTTCATTTAATTAATCTATTTTATCAGATAAGAATGATCACAACGTGGCAAACTTAGATCACAATATCAACCCAATAAAGGCATAATAAGTAACTGAAAACTGTGACCAGATTTAAAGGTTTCATATCACCCCGAAATCTAAACTAATCTGGTCGAGGATGCATATATTGATTCAACACATAAGAATTACGATGCCTCAACAAGGCTAACCTTCAAGCTCGATGTCATTCTCATGTGCAGCTTCTAGCATAGACATTCCAACAGGGACTTTGATATGCTTCTCTTCGCCATCCTTGTCAACGAAGGTCACTGAGATTCTGCAGGGGTAAACAGAGAACATTAACAAATTCGAGGTGAAGAAAAGCTAAGAGGTCCAAGATAACTTCGATAACACTCCGTCAATTTATATGCCAAAGAAGACTGTTCTGTTTCATAGCAGACTGAAGTTTCCCTTTAGATATTCATCAATCTAGTTTTCTCTTTCACGTAAGGGCAATAGTGACAAGAAGCATATCTTCATATCCAGTTTAAAAAAAGCTATGTTTCCTGGTTTAAAGAGAAAAGCAAGTGCTATAGCCGAAAAGAGAATAATGTTAACAATTCCTGGAAGAACTTACGTTTGCTTTTCCTCATTCCCAGCAGCAGTACAATATTGTTCATGCCTCTGAAACACAGAACAAAATTCAGGTCATCCACAAGAGATGAAGAGCTGAAATTACAAAGAAAGCCACTGTTTCCTACAAAGAGAAAAGTGGAAAAGAAATAGAACCCAGAGGGGTGCTAAAGAGTCTCGTAATTAACAATTTCAGGAAAATTTACTCTGTGTTACATCTATCTACAAAGCTACTGACCAGGACCCGCAAAAAATGATATCTCGACAAAGGATCATGTGATGCCTCTGACGTACAAGCTGACATTGCTGCAATACACCAACAAGAGAGAGAGAGAGAGAGAGTAATTTAGAACATGAAATTTAACAAAACACATGAAAAATTAATATACGTGCAACTTGGGTTCCATAACATCTATATGCATCATGCATGAGGAAACAAACATCAAGTTTATTGCAGTAGCCTCCTAAATATTCGAAGTAAGTTTTTGATAAGTCAAAAAGATTTTATTCAGGAAAACAGCACCAAATAGGAGTTGGTTATAGACAAAAGACTGGTGAAGATAATTACAATAACATACCCAGTATTATCTCACATCGTGGGATCTGGGGAGGGTAGTGTGTACGCAACCTTAACCCTACCTTGCGAAGGTAGAGAGGTTGTTTCCAATAGACCCTTGGCTCAGAAGATAATTGTCCCTTTAAAATATGCAGGGAGCTGAAGAAATCCATCATAACATCTGTATTATTTACATTTTTTAAATTACCCATAAAGTTAACAACTGTAAACTATTGTATACACCATAAACGACTTTCCCTAGCCAAGAAGTATGTCTTCCTTTTAATTTTTGGATCTCCTGTTCACACAATTGGAGAACGATTTACTCTTCATATTGCTATATCATCCAGTGTCCGCTTAGAGAGAATAGTATTTCACATTCAACTTGCAAATCTATTTTCCAAGTAATTATGGTAACTCCCTCACAGAGAATTACATTAAGAATTGTTTACACTTCTTCAAAGTGATCGCTCAAAGTATTCATGGTAACTCCATTATATAGAATTACACCAAACTATTGTTCATGCACTAGCTGATATACCCAGTTATGTTCTATAGAGGTCAATGGGATTTTGTTAAGGAAAAGACTAGATCCATTTCCTACCAAAATTGCTCTTTCTGAAGCAAGCACTGATGAGCTTTCTGGTGAAAGACCTAACTAGGCTCCTCACAATATTAAATTTAAAACACAAAACTTGAACAAACTTATACACAATGTTCCAAGATAGATACAAAGTTTTACTAGCCAAAAACCAGAGTCTGAACATTGCAAATATCCCATTAGGTTTCAACTCAAGAGAATTCTCCCCTAGACACTAGTATCAAAAAATTTCACTCCTAAATTTTTCCGACTTAATTTGTATTTTATCGTGAACAAGAATTAAATACTGTCCCAAAGAAAGGAAAGGAAAAGATAGAGTACTAACTATTTTGATATATTGGCATGGAAGAAGTGGAATAAGAAGGATAATGTTTTGCATGAATTTTAAAGAGGAAAGAAGAGGGTAAAGCAAATAGCAAAAGCTTAACCTTCTTTAAACAAAACTTTAAAATGAAACTTAAACATACTGGCAGAACAAACATTTGGCACAACAAACAAACAAAAAAATGAGCACTATGAGTATTAGCGTCAATTAATGCCATTTCCTTTCTTTTCTCTCCTTGCCAATGAAACATGAAAGAGATATATATCATGCTTCCCAAACACTCCATTTCCCACGACACCTATCCCGACGTGGTATAAGATAGGTACAAACACTTCGTATGGATAAAACTTGCTTGTTTAATTGAACATGGTAAACCAGATACATATGCAAACATGATTCTATGGACATAATTTTCTAAAAACAAAGCAGCATCATAAAGTTTCATTTAAGAGGCTCCATCTCCGCTGAATTTGGGCAGTGAGAAAAGTTAAGCTTTCCTTCCTTTCTCTCATCATTTCCTCTCTCCCAAAACTCCAGAAAAAAAAAAGCACAATCCCTCCTAACCCTCTCCATTCCTTTCTCACCTATTTCCTCAAACATCTTCACGCAATCTCTGTTTCCTCAATTGCATCAAAGCAAGGGAAGTGTCACCACTAATTGGGTTTCTTTTCTTTCTTTCTTTTTGGTAAAATATAGGAGTACAGTTACAACTTCTAAATTTACAATCTTTACACACCACTAGTAGGCACCTATTTTTGCTGACCGTGGAGTCCGTACCAGCTTGTTGGTACCTCGACTACTCCACTGGGTAGCTGCTGCCTCCCACCAACCGGCACAGATACCCGGTAACTCTACCCAACAATATTTAGGCAGATAAGAAGAAATGACATAGTATTTTCCGCCTCCGCAAGAATTTGATCCTGAGCCTCATGGTTCTCCCGTACCAAACACCTTCTAACCCAAACTAGTTGCAAAAAATACAACATAAGTAGAGCATAAATCAACACCATTAGGCCAACTTTCACTGGCCCCTAAATTGGTTTCACAGACAAGTTCTCAACCACTCTCTTGCTTTGGTTCATAGAATCCAATAGAAGGATAGAAGTAAAACCGAGATACAAAAAGGCAATACCTTTATCAAAATGCACACAACCCCATATATAATGAGCCTATAATATGACATACACCATTTAAAGAACTCGATGGAAACAAAACCCCAGCAAAACCCAGATACAAAAAGGCAATAACTTTATCACTAAAATTTGAACAATCCAAAATAGAAACAAGCCTATAATATGACATATACCATTTAAGGAATTCGATGGGAACATAACCCCAGCTCGGTTCCTCGTTGACGTGTTGTATCTCCTGCATCCCACTTTCAAGAATGATCCAAACGCCTACATTAAACAGAAAACTCTTCAGAGATCACCCAATTAATGTATGTATATATAATTATCTACATAAAGAACGAAATTTTAAACCAAAAAAATAACACCATGTGAAGAACATAGTTAGAGAGAGAGAGAGAGAGAGAGAGAGAGAGAGTTACAGAAGGTGAACCACGAAGAAGAAGGGAGGAGAGAGAGCATCGACCGAGGCGACGGGCGGTTCGGAGAACATGGAAGCCGACCATTTTCTGGAGGTTCACAGTTGCCGGAGGGAAATGGAAAATGGGTCGGGTCTGGATTCAAGTTTTCAGATTCAAT